ATAATAATTACCGTTTCATTGTTTTATTAACGGTTTTTATAAGGTGGATGCCTCACTAGTAGTTCCCTAAGTATTAAAATGATTTGACACTATATAAGCCAGAGGTGGGGAACCTTTTTTCTGCTAAGGGTCATTTGGATATTTATAATATCATTTGCAGGCCATACAAAATTTTCAACTTAAAAATTAGCCTGCTAGGGAATTTACTAGTATATGCATATATGCGTAGCCCATGGATATAGACAATAGAGTGGTGAAGGCTTGGGAGGGGGTAAGGGTGGGGTGGAGGCGATCAATGGGGAGGAAACATGAACAAACAAAGGGGACATATGTAATACTTTCAACAATAAAGATAAGTTTTAAAAAAGAAAAACAAGGAATAAAATTAGCCTGCTATATTTGGTCAAACATTTAATTAACTCACCCCTGATGTCTTGGCAGGGCCGGACCAAATGATTTCATGGGCCTTTTATGGCCCGCAGGCCATACGTTCCCCACCCCTGGTATAAGCCATTGAGTTTATCAGCCAGATATCATGGCTAAATTTGACCAAACAATTCTGTATACCATAAGGAAGTTTTTGTCCAAAATGACAAATACATTTTTAGCAACACATTTCACTATATACTGTATTTAGTACTTTGTTTTAGATACTTACTAGGAACCGAACTTGTAGTTACTTGAATATTTTTTAACCCATCTTTGATTACTTGTGGCAGCCAGAAATGAATCCTAAGCCCTAAAATTCTATTTTATATCTTTTATACTAAGGTTTTAAATTTTTTTAAGTTTAATTTAATTTTTTAGTAAATTTATTGTGTGACATTGGTTAATATAATCATATAGATTTCAAGTGGAGTTTTCTGTGATACTTGATATGTATATTACACTATGTGCTCACCACCCAAAGTAAAATCATCTTTTGCCCTCATATTTGGCTCCCTAAGGTCTTAAATAAGAACAAATATTAGTTTTCTTTTATGTATCAGTCTAGAATTTGCAATTGTATAATGGGGTCAAGGGTATGGGTCATAGTTTTTGTATGATCTTTAAAAAAACTTTCAGATGTATGAAAAATAAATAGACTCAATAATTAGATCTTTCAGTTTGGAGAACATTGCATATAACTTTTAATTAAGTAGGCTCCATTTTATGCAATATCAGTCATTGCAAACATTTTGTACAGATATATCAATTAAAACAGTATCCTACCAGATCGTTTCATTTTCTTAGCATTTGTTTTTGTGCACTGCACTATTGTATGAGCGACCTTTTAGTCTTATTCATTGGGTAACAGGAGCTGGAATGCTGTACAGGCAGTTTGTTGAGCTCCTTTCAGAGACAGTTCTCTCACATAGCTCAATCTTCTGTCCACTTTTTGGTTGGAAGGATAATAAGTGGAACACAGGGGTTGTAATCTGGGGACAAAATGGTAGACGAGTGGGAAAATACACAATTCAAAAGATGATGTTATAAAAAGTCATTATTTTGAGGTGAAATTTAATAGGAGATTTAAAATACCATTTTCATATACATTTAAATCCTGTACCTTCCTTAACTTTAGGGCCATAGTAAAAAGTCTGTTAAAAAAAAGATTTTTATGTAATTGGGTTTAAGGCCAATCTTAGAAAAGTTAAGCAGAGGGCAATTTAAATTTATGTTTAATATGATATAATAATATATAATTTTTTCATAAAGGATTATTCCTTCTCTTGATAAGTATTAACAGATGTAATTACGATTCTTGCCTTTGTCTAGTAATATAATTTTAAATATTTTCTCTTGTCAGGTGGTATGTACAGTTACCTACACAGCAAGCTCATCAGTATCACGAATTGGAGACTCCCTCCCTCCCTTTGTCACCTTCCCCCTTTCCTGTGTCCTCTCTGGAAGAAGAGGAAACTGCAATTAGGGATGAGAATTGTACATTACCCTCACGTCTACATCCTCAAGTAGCACACAAGATTCAAGAATTAGTATCACAAGGAATAGAACAAGTGTATGCAGTAAGGAAACATCTAAGGTATAGTAGAAACAAATTGCTCAAATATGTTTTTCATTTTTGTTTGTTGCTTTAAGTAATACACTTAATATTATAGAAATTTTCAGTAAATATGCCATTAGAGTGCTTTCCACAGTGGCTTCACCAATCTGCATTCCCACCAACAGTGCAGGAGGGTTCCCCTTTCTCAGCATCCCAACCAATACTTGTTATTTATTAACTTATTGATGTTAGCCATTCTGATAGGTGTGAGGTGCTATCTTATTATGCTTTTAATTTGCATTTCTCTGATAATTAGTGTCATTGAGCATCTTTTCACTTGTCTATTGGCCATCGGTATGTCTGCTTTGAAGAAGTATCTATTCAGGTCATTTGCCCATTTTTTATTTGGATTATTTGTTTTTTTGATGATGAGTTTTATAAGATCTTTATAAATTTTGTCATTAACCCCTAATCAGATGTTTTGGCGAATGTGTTCTCCCATTCAGTGAGTTGTCTTTTCATTTTATTGATGGTTACCTTTACTGTGCAAAAACATTTTAGTTGATTTAATCTCATTTGTTTATTTTGTATTTTTATTTTTCCTTGCCTGAGGAGATAGATCAGAAAAAAATACTGCTATAAGAAAGATACTAGATTTTACTGACTATGTTTTCTTGTAGGATTTTTATGGTTTTGAGTGTAACATTTAAGTATAGAACCAAAGATTTTAAAACCTCTAGGTCAAGGTACTTATTTTAAGGTATTTGAAATATATTTTATTTCAGCAGAAGAATATGGATAGTTCTTTGTCTAATGAAATTTTACATGTAGCACTCTGGTCTAATTTTATTGATACTCAGGATATAATAATTACTAGTAACTATTATTGTGGCACTTACCATGTGTGTGCCAGGTGTTATGCTATGTACATGACATGCATGAACTCGTTTATTCTTACTACTATAAAATTGGTATATTTTTCCTTGTTCTGCAGATGAGAAAATGGTTAAATAACTAGCTTAAGAGATAGAGGCAGAACTGCATCTTAGGTCTGAATCTACAACCTGTATTCTTTGCCATGATTTCTTGTACTTAATTGACCTGTTTGTACTCGTTGTTGTGTAGTCTGATCTGAATAACCTAATGAGTATTGTCTAGGATTATTCCTTAATTAATACATTACTTTATTATTTAGCATATTTCTTAGGCTTTTTATATTTATTTTCATTGAGGCATTGTTAGACTAGAACCAGAACTTGGTAAAGCCATCCACTATTTACTAAACCTAAATTTTAAGGACAGAGGTATAATATACCTCTGCGATATGGTCTACCTAATGTAATGCACAAAATTTTATATATTAATTTCTTTTATCTATCTATTTTTATATAATTATATGGCAATACTGCCTTCTATTTCTATCTTCTGTTTTGTCTACTTGTAAAATGCAAGCAGATCATATTTTATATGATATTAATTGATGCCTTTTAGAAGCAACATAACATGATATTTATGCAAATAATCTGAGTGAGAGCCCAAGCTCTCTTTCTTACCAGGTAAGTGTACAAGTTGGGGCAGATTACTTAACTTCTGCAACCTATCAGTTTCCTTATCCATAAAGAGGGAATGCAAAGGATTATATTAAGGGTTTGAGTAGATACTTGATGTGAAGTGTTCAGTGCAGTGCCTGACCTAGTAGGCATTCAAAAACATCCTTAAATTGAAAATAGTGATTCCTTTAAATCATAAAAATGTAAAGCTCACTCTAAGATATACAGTTGTTTAACCAATGTAAATATTACATTCCTTTAATCACATGAATTCTATGATTTAAGGTAGGGAAATGAAAATGGTAAGAGTTAAAGTACTTATAAAGCTATAAACCATGTTTTATACTAGTTTATGCTAAAAAGAGAACCTTATCTCATGTGACCTAAAGTAAATTGCTAGATTATGTTTTATTCTATTTTATATTATCTACAGAAAATTTGTGGAAAGAGAACTGTTCAAATCTGATGAGGTACCTGAAAGACATAATTTATCCTTTTTTCCAACTGTAAATGATATAAAAAATCACATCCATGAAGTACAGAAATCCTTGAGAAATGGAGATAATGTATCTAACTCAGAGATTATTCCAGCAACGGTATGATTACAACTGTAATTCCTTGTTTTATTACATAATCTTTCTCGCCTCCATTACTATTTGGACTAATAGGGATGATTGCAATTAGGCCATGTAAGTAACTATGATATAAGAGAAAATAGGGGTATGTTTCTTAAAATGTAAATACTGTGAACTCTTAAATGATGATTTAACTAAATCTGGTTTTTGCTTTCACAAGAAGAAAAACCATTGAATATCCAACTCTGACTATAATAATAATAATAGTAATCTTTATTTAAAAATCAGCATAGTTTATCTCTAAAAAGTATAGCTTATTCATTCAACAGACAGTTATTGATTACATGCTATGTATATTTTCCCCTCTTTAAGTAGATGGGTAATTTAAATAGAATAGTTAATGTTCTATATTCCACCTATGGATATTAACTCTTTGCGGTCCAATTTTATTTTTGGAATTCAAATAGTCTGGTCCAAATTAATTGACGGGATTGAATGTTGAACCTGTTTGCGGTGTCGACCTCAGCCTCGACATTGAACCTACTCCTAGCGCCTGGTCTGTCGAGTCAGCCTCGACGTTGGACCGAAAAGGGTTAATGTTACTTCATACTGTGATAGTTTCCCTCTGAATATTGGTAATTTCTATGAAAATTTTTCCAGCTCTGAAGAGATTAATATAATTACCCAGAAAGTAGTTATTGTAATGCAGGTAGTGATTATGGCATTAAAATATCAGCAACAATATTCTTTGTTCTCCACATTTTTACTATCCAAATTCAGTAACTGAATAGATTAATAGATTGAGATATTTTTTTAAAGTTAGAGCTACTAGTCTTTGCTATTCAAAACTCTTAATTATTCTTTATCCCAAATTCAGGAATGAAAACGGATTTGGTTAGCAATGGTCTTTGCCACCTACACTTTCTAACCAAAGTCTTGCTATCTGAACTTGGGAAGCTAATGCATTTAGTTAGTGAAGTACACTTGTGCTTTGAGAATATAAACAAGTGAAGAGAATAATTACAGAATAAAACATAATTATTCTCTGACGGAATATGACAGTTGTATTGCTGTTTTAAAATATTTTTTAATATTCTACTGAAGTGAATGTTCCCTTTTTAGCTTCAGTGGACTACAGACAGTGGGAATATTCTCAGAGAGACTGTGACAGTAACATTTGCAGAAGGTAGGTTATCCTAATACCTTTAAAAATATAAAATCAAACAATGTTAAAAATGGAAGACATTTAAGATAGTATCTCATCTAATCATATTTAATGGATAAGGAAATCATGGCTCAAAGAGAAAAGAGTAACTATGTTAGGACTTATCAAAATAATTCCAGCTATTTAAATTCCCTCTTGTAATCGGCTCTTATGCTTCTTTATGATTGAAATTTGAGTCTGATTACTATCACAGTTTACTGTAAAGTTAGGTTAATTCCAGTACTAATACTAAGATACTCTGATCAGGAAACTGATTTTTCTCGTATGTTCTAACTCCTGTGTTCTCTCAATAGCCCAAACTTATTTCAACCCTTTTGTTCTCTCTTTTGGAAATGTCTTCTCTCTTCTTCTGCATGGCAAACTCCACTCACTACTCAAATAATAATCTCTTTGGCTGTAAGTGCTTTCTTAACGTCACCCCCTGTATAAAGTTAGCTATTCACTCTTTTGTATTTACCTCTTCATCTAACATGGTATCCTTTTGTTTACACATCTGTATCCTTCCTTATGATTTGAGCTCCTCAGGGGTACAAGGATTGTATTTTATTCAAATTAATATACCTAGTTCATAGCATGATGCCTGCTAAAAAGTTAACACCTAAAAATGCTTTAGGATAAATTTATGTATAACTATATACAATACAATTATTCCTTTTTTTTAATCTTTATTGTTCAGATTATTACAGTTGTTCCTCTTTTTTCCCCCCATAGCTCCCATCCCCCCAGTTCCCACCCCTCCCCAAGCCCTTATTCCCACCATTGTCCTCGTCCGTCTATAGGAACAAAATTTTTGTCCAATCTCTTCCCGCACCCCCCACACCCTTTCCCCCCTAAGAATAGCCAGTCCACTCCCTTTCTATGCCCTGATTCTATTATAATCACCAGTTTATTCTGTTCATCAGATTTTTTATTCACTTGATTTTTAGATTCACTTGTTGATAGATATGTATTTGTTGTCACTTTGTTGTTCATAATTATTTTATCTTTACCTTTTTCTTCTTCATCCTTTTCTTAGAGAATACCCTCCAGCATTTCATATAATACTGGTTTGGTGGTGATGAACGTTTTTAGCTTTTTCTTGTCTGTGAAGCTCTTTATCTGACCTTTAATTCTAAATGATAGCTTCGCTGGGTAGAGTAATCTTGGTGGTAGGTCCTTGCTGTTCATCACTTTGAATATTTCTTGCCACTCCCTGTGGTCTGCAAAGTTTCTGTTGAGAAATCAACTGACAGTCATATGGATACTCCCTTGTAGGTAACTGACTGTCTTTCTCTTGCTGCTTTTAAGATTCTCTCTTTGTCTTTTGCTCTTGGCATTTTAATTATGATGTGTCTTGGTGTGGTCCTCTTTGGATTCCTTTTGG